CCTTCTCTTTTAAATCTGACACCAGGGTTGACTCTGACTTGGTGCCCTCCACTTAATAACTGCTTGCCTTTATATAAGAGAGGGGGATTATGTCAGGAGCCATTTCCCCTCTAAAAATCATTACAGGAATCACCCTGGGGAGTCTGCAGAATGCCCCTCACCCAATTAGCAGCTATCTGTTAGCAGAACAGGCCTCACATTCCAGCTATCCAGGGAACCAGGTGTGGCCACTTGACTTCCTAGCCTACCTCCTGGCCTACGTGACCTGGAACACGCGGCAAGAATCCAGTTACCCTGCCCCCCATTCCTTACCATATATAAACTGTAACCCGTCCCTAATAAACTGAGGCTTTGACAAAGTTGCTTGGCCTTCTTCTTCTGTCTTAGCTCATTCCCTTCCAGGTAGCGCCCCTCCGAGACCCTGGAATTACTGATTGCGGGTGGGTTACTAACCCCTAGACTGAGTAGCCCACCCAATGCAATCCACAAAAATAAAATAAAATGTTAAAATTATTTATTAAAAAATAAAGAACTCCATTGTTCTTGAAATAGCTTCAGAAGTTTGCTTCTCATATTTACACACTATCTTGCTTTTGGCAAATTCCAAGCAATTAAATTCACAGAGCATTCCTTTTCTGGAGGTAAACCATATATGTCAATCCAATATAAATCATTATTAATGTTTCATACTTTGAATAATAAATTTATATTTGCTATAAATTTGGTTAATATTTCTTATCAAAAGTTTCATTGTGCTAGCTCTGAAAATTTTATGAAAACAGTTTTCATTTATTTTTGAGATTATACTATATTTACATCATTTCTCCCTCTATTCGCTCCCATATATTTTTTGCTTACTTAGCAATGTCAGAAGTCACAGTCATAAATTCTCACCAAAATGACTGCCTAGACATGAACTCAACAAATGCAACAATAAAATCTTACATGTTTATGCATCAATTTTCAATTTAAAATGCCAAATCCAATCATGTCAGTCACATGAAAATACATATGTGCTTATACATTAAACAATTTAAAAACTTTTCTTATACTATTATGATTTTTAAACAATTAAAAATTTTTTATACTATTATGATTTTGTTATATTCTTTTGTATTCAAACTTTCATTGACATTATTTTTTAATTTACATTATTTTATTTGTTCAGAAAAGCCAGAGTTAAAACATATTTTGCATTCACAAAAACTGAAAATATTACATCTTCTCATATTATAGTATAAGAATACAACAGAATATTTCTACCCCTGAATAGGTCTTACTGATGTATAAAACTGAAATAAGTTTAAGTTCTTCAAAATAAAGCAATATGCTAGACCATTTTGTGTCAATTTGACACAGATTAGAATCATTTGAGAGGACAGAACCTCAATTGAGACAATGCCTTCATAAGATTAGACTACAGGCATTTTAAGACTGTACATATTTAATCAATTACATATAAGCCTATAGAGCATTTCCTTAATTACTGATGGATGTGGGAGGGACCAAACTATTGAGGGTGGTGCCATCCCTGAACTGGTGGTCCTGGGTTCTATAAGAAAGCAGGCTTAGCAAGACATGAGGAGCAAGCCAGTAAGCAGTACTCCTCCACTGTCTTTGCATCAGCTCCTGTCTTCAGGTTCCTCCTCTGTTTGAGTTCCTGTCATGATTTTCTTCAGTGGATTATGGCTTGGGATATGTAAGACAAATAAACCCTTTCATTCTCAAGTTGCTTTTGGTCATGGTGTTTCATAATAGCAATAGTAGCCCTAAATAAGACAAAAGGACTATTAATTTTTTTCCAAAAATTCCAGACATAAGAATATAACTTCATTATTAGCATCCTACCATGTTCATATTATATCATTTCCATAACAGTTAGTACACATTTATAAAGATGTGTTCTTTATATGGTCTTGGTCAGTTGGAATAGAGCATGAAAAGCAACAGTTCAGGAAAAAACATACTTTTGCAACATTTCAACTAGGTGGTAGCAATACTATATGCATAAGTGTTCGTTCTGATCAACATTGTCACCTTTACTGTACTGGTATGGTTTCTAGGAAAGACATTAAAATGAACAGGCGCATAAGAAAATTTTCTCTCAGTTCTTTAGACTCATGGGATATATCTGTGAACAGACTTCTGGATATGCTTTACCAATGAAGCTATATTCCCAAGTCCAAATCTCATATTTTTTTAAATTTGTATTCTGGATATAAAGAAAACATTACAACAATCTCTTGTAGAAATTACTATAATTTTGATTTATATGAAAAATGAAGATTGTAAAGGTTTATGGATTATAAATAACAGAGCTAGATTCAAATTTAGATTTTCGTTTAAGTTTTGCATTCATTTTGTTCTTTCAGCCCTGCACTAATTTCTAAGAATTAAGAAAATGCAGACTTACTTTGATCAGTCGCAGAATATCTGGGCAGTCTTGAGGCTCAGCAGGTCTTATTTTGAAAGGAACAGAGTTTGTCTTTCTCATGGGTAATTGGAGCATTCCTTCTTGATTTTTACTTAAATCACTCATGCTTGATTCACTTGGCTCTAACTGACTTTTACGTGGTTGACTTCCGCTTACTTGAATTGATTCTGATTGGCTGGTAGTGTCTGATGGGCTGGCTTTTGTCTCTGGCTGACTTGGACTTGGCTCTGATGTATCTGATAGTGTCATTTCTCCTAGGTCTGGTTGGGTGGTATCTGGTTGACTTTTATCTAATTGAGTGGTTTCTGGTTGACTTGTCTCATATGGTTCCATGCCTTCTTGCCATGTACCCAGTTGGCTGGTGCTTGTCTTCGATTGCCTTGGTATTGGTTCCCAAATATCTGTTTGTCTCATGTCTGGGTTGCTGGGACCCGGATGCCATTTTTCTGATTGTCTTGTGTTTGAGCAGCTGGGGCTTGGTTGCCATGTATATAATTGTCTTACACCAGGGAAGTTGGGACTTGATTGCCATGTATCCAATTGTTTCATGCCAGGGTGGCTTGGGCATGTTTGCCATGCATCTGATTGTCTTGTGCCTGACTGGCTTGGTTGCCATAAATCTGAGTGTCTCATGGCTGAGTGGCATGGACCCCATGGACATGAGTCTGAATACCTCATGCCCAGTTGGCTTGGGCCTGGTTGCCATGAATCCAATTGTCCCATACCTAGAGGGCTGAGCCCTGCTGGCCATTTGCCTGATTGTTTTCTGCTTGGGGAGTTGGGACCCCATTGCCATGAATCAAACTGTTTAATGCCATGTTGATCAGTGCCTGATTGCCATGTGTCCAAGTCTTTCATGTTTGATTGGCTGAAGCCTGATTGACAAGTGTCAGGTTTTGCCATGGCTGGTTGACTGAGGCTTGATTGTTGTGTATCTAAAATTTTTACACTTAGATGGCTGTGGCGAAGTTGCTGCATGTCTAATTGTGTCGTATCTGGTATTCTAGGGCCTGGTTGTTGTGTATCTGACCATTCCATACCTGGATGAATAGGCCCTAGTTGATATGTGTCAGATTGTCTCATGCCTGGTTGGCTAAGGCCCAATGGCCATGTGCCTGACAATCTCTTGCCTAGTGAGCTGGGGCCTGGTTGCCAAGTACTCAACTGTTTCATGCCTTGTTGGTTCTGGCTTGATTGCCATGTGTCATATTGTCTCATATCTGGTTGGCTGGGTCCTGGTAGTCCTGGGCTTGGCAGTCTCATAACTGATTGAATAGGAGGGCCTGGTTGTGCTGTGTCATGTTGTTTCATACCGTGTTCGGTTGGACTTGGTTCTTTGAATTCTAAATGTTTGATGACTGGGTGATGTAGGCCTGTTTGCCATGAATTTGAATGTTTTTTGCCTAAGTGGCTTGGGTTCCATTGATATGCATCTGTTTGTCTCAAGCTTGGAGAGCCTGGATCCCAATGCCATGGTTCTGGTTGTTTCATTCCTGGATAACTTGGATCTGTTTTCCATGTATCAGGTTGTCTCTGTCCTGCGCTTGTGTCTCGTTGGACAATGTCTGATTGTCTCATTTCCTGATTGCTTTGGTCTATTTGCCACATTTCTGGTGATTTCCTGCCTGGATATGCTGAACCCAATTGTCGTGAGTTTGTTTGCTTTATGTTGGGAGGAGGAGGGCCTGGCTGCCATATGCCTGTTTGGCTCAGGCCTGCTTGACTCATGCCTGGTTGGCTTGTGCCTGGATGTTTCATATGCAGTTGGCTTGGGTCTGGCTGCCTCAAACCTTGTTGACTCATGTCTGGTTTGCTCATGCCTGGCTGGTCCATGCTTGGCCCTGGTTGGTTCATATCTGGTTGCCTTGCATCTGGTCTTGTCACATCTGGTTTGTTCATGCCTTGTTGGCTCATGCTTGGCTGGTTGATGTTTGGTTGGCTTGGCCCTGGTTCTTTTGTATTGTATGGACTTTCATCTGGTGGGCTCATAACTGCTTGATTCATGTCTGTTTTGCTTTGGCCTGCTTGTCTTATGCCTGGTTGGTCCATGACTCTTTGGCAGATGATATCTTAGTAAACAACTGACTGGCCTGTAAGAGTCTTGATAGACAAGATCTTTTGACTTACAATGCTGTGATGAAAAGTTGTCAGCTGTTTCCAGTTTGTCGCAACTCACACTTGGAAATAGTCTCCTGTCATGGTGGAATAGGAAACAGAGATGACTACCTGAGGAAGGTGATGAATCCTCTGACTTGCTGAAGTTGACTTCATTAGAGACTGCAACTACAAGCTTAGTTGGATTTCAGCCTGCCATCTGGCCTTTCCCTGCCAAAAGGCTAGAAAAGAGGGAGAACAAAATGATCCTTGAAGACTATTACCATCTTACTTTTCCCCTGGTCCACACAGGACTGCATCATAATGATGAAGTCACAATGCCAATGTCTCTGTGCCTATGTGCTACTCTTCCAAGTGGTGATGTAGGGGCAGGGCATGGGCTGCTTGATTACAGCTTCATTGCTTCGTTTAAAGAACAAGTACCTGCTTTTCCATTCTCACCACTGCACTGTAGCAGTATGCTTGCAAGTACCCCTCCTCCCACACTACCTCCATTCTCTGTGGACTTTGCTGAAACTTGGTGTGCACATAGCTTTCCCTCTTCCTGTGGACCCTCTCAACCCCTTTCTAGTCCATTCTCATTTCTTTGTGTGAGCCGGGGATATTGAGAAGCATCTCTATCTGGGATCTCCAGTGACCACACCAGACCTGGGTTCAGATAGGGGATTTTTTACTCTGCTTCATTTCCTTTATTACAATCTCTTCATCCTCACCCCCATCCTTGTACCAGTCTTACTGTAGGCACAGTACCTCTTACCTCATCTCCATATACCACAAGTTACAACTCTGAATACAGACTGAGAATTCCCTTGGTTTTTGATCCCTGTCTTTGCAGATGATTCATTGGCTTACTGCAACCTACTGAAGAAGGCTAGACCAGTAAATCAAAAGAAGGGGGAAAGCCCTCACTATATAAATCAAAAGAAGGGGGAAAGCCCACACTATAACAACAAAATAACAGGAATCAAGAAGTTCTAGTAATTGATAGCTCTCAATATTAATGGTCTTCATTCCTTTATAAAAACAGAGTAACAGACTGGATTAGAAAACAGGATCTATATTTCTGTAAACACACCTTACTATTAAGGAAAGACATGCTCAGGTAAATGGATGGAGAAAGGTATTTTAAGCAAATGACCTAATAATAAAGCAGGTGAAACTATGATAATATCTAAAGAACTTCAATCCAAAACTATTTAAAAGACACAGACTAAACATATATTTAGTCATTGGACTAAACATATATTTTTTGCCTTGACCCCTAAAAGAACTAAAAACAACAAAATTGGTCAATAAATATCTAGACTGAGGATGAAAATAGAGAAATTTTTACTATATGCTCATCAAAGGACAAATCCACCAAGAGAATATTGTAGTTCTAAACAATTATACACCAAATGCACAGGCATATAAGTTCACAAAAGAGAAACTACTACATGTGAAATTACACATTGTCCTTCACATAGTGATAGTAGGTAACTTCAATACCCCACCCCACTCTTACCAATAGACAGGTCATTCCAGACAAAGACATAACAGAGAAATGCTGGATCTAAATTATATCATAAATCTAGTCCATATTTACATAATATCTCACACTCACATAAAAGAATATATTCTTTTCTCAGCATCTCATGGAAAATCCTCCAAAACTGACGATATACTTGAATACAAAGCAAGGCTCAAAAGATGTAAGAAAATTGAAGCAACATCTTATATCCTAACTTGCCACCATAGATTAAAGCTAGATGTTAACAACAGTGGAACCAATAGAAATTTTATAAACTCATGCAAACTGAATAACTTACTATTGAATGAAGGATGGTTCAAGACAGAATTAAGATAGAAATTAAAAAGTTATTAGAATTGAATGAAAAGGAAAACACAAGATAACCAAACCTAGGGGACAAAATGAAGTCAATTCTAAGAGGCAAGTTTATATAGCTCTTAGTGACTATATAAAAATGAGGGATCTCATATTAGTAACTCAATGGCATAAGTGAGAGTTCTAGAAAAGGATAAAATAACACTCCAAAGAACCGACAGAAAGAAATAATCAAACCTGGAGTAGAAAGCAATAAAATAGGAACAAACCTCCACCACCATCACTACCCCCCCCACCCCCCCACCAAAAAAGAAAAAAATGCAAAGATAAAAAGAAGAGTTGGTTCTTTGAGAAAACTAATGAGACTTATAAAGACTTAGCTAAATTAACTCAAAGATGAAAAGAGAAGTTCCAAATTAATAAAATTAGAAAAGGAGGACTTCACAATAGCCACCAAGGAAATCCAGAGAATCATAATGACATGCTTTAAAAATCTATACCCCATCAAACTGGAAAATTTAAAAGAAATAAATTTCTTTTTTTTTTTTTGAGCTTGAACCTGACTTCATTTGATCATACTTAAACCTAAGGACCATACACAAAAAATTAACTTAAAATGAATAAAAGACCTAAAATGCATAAAACTCTGAGAGGGAATACAGGAAAGCCTGACAGTGATTTCTAGGCTCTGCAATCAAAGGCACATAAGAAAAAAAAACACACATCAAACCTCATGAAAACCAAACAATTTTGTGCTTCAAAAAATTTATCACCTTATCAAAGTGGCAACCCATGGAGTCAGGGAATGTATTTTCAAATTATATATCTGGTAAGAGATAATATCCACAATACACAGAGAATTCCTAAAATTCAGCAAAAGAAACCAAATACCTTGATTAAAAATATATTCAAAGGCCTTAAATAGACATTTCTTCAAAGAAAATGTAAAGATGACCAGTAAAATAAGCAAAACATGGTTGATTTCATTAATCAGAGAAGTGCAAAGCCAAGCCCAGTGTTGGGAAGAGGACTGTATGAGCAGAGTGTTCGCTGACCAGCGTGAGCACCTGTGTCTGGAACCCAGAAAACAGGTAAGACAGAGGCATCTGTAATCCCAGCACGAGGGGAAGTTGGGGTGGACAAGGAGATCCATGGGGCTCTCTGGCCAGCCAGTTCAACCCAAACAGAGGGCTCCAGATTCAGTAAGAGACCATGGCTCAATGAATAAGGGAGAGGGTGATAGAGGAAGATCCCCAATGTGTGGCCTCTCACCTCTGCATGCTTGGGCATGGAGATGCTCACATGTGAACATATTGTACTAGTTTTATCTCTGTGGCTATTAGGGTTTATTGCTGTGAAGAAATTTCATGACCACAGCAGCTCTTATGAGGAAGACATTTAATTGACAGCAGATTACAAGTTCAGAGTGTTAGTGCATTATTTTCATGGTGGGGACCATGGATGCATTCAGGCAGATATGATGCTGGAGAAGTAGCTAAGAGTTGTACATCCAGATTAGCAGGCTATAAGAAAAGAGAGACACATGGGGGGCCTAGCTTGGACGTCTGAAATCTCAAAGTCCACCCCTGTGACACACTTCCTCCAACAAGCCCACACCTCCCAACAGTGCTTGCAGTAATTTTTGGGGGAGAGATCAGCAACAAATATCCCCAACACAAGAGACTTCAGTTTATGTAAAAGAACTAACTGGAGGACACGGTGGACACCATGCGGGATAGTCCAAGCATGAAACAGTGAAGCCCACACTGAGAGCAGATCGCCCCACTACAATTAAATCAAGTAGGTTCTTTGGGGCCTGGCCTGCAGAGTGGTAGGCCTTTTATTGGTGAGGTCCACGGGTGAACGGGGAGCCTGGTTCTGTCCCTGAAGACCCTCCTGAGTAGGGAGAGTGTTCTTGACCCACGGCAGGACACAGGAAATGGAGCAGGGGCATTCCCCGACCCCCTTGTTCCCCCGGTTAGTCTGCGAGGGCTGGTACCCACCGCTGGGCCTTCTCCTCCTCTGCTGTGACCTCTCTCTACCTGGCCCATCCCAGCTTGCGCCCTGGGGCGTCCTTTACTCCCCCTCCCTTCCACGGGGTGCAGGATCACCCAGTTTAGCCTGTTTGGGCGCTGGGTTGGGAGCTAGGGGCAGAGGGCAGTGGGATTTTCTCTGTTTTGGTGGCTGGCCTGCAGAGTGGTCCCTGGCGAACGGGGAGCCTGGTCCTGGTCCTGAAAACCCTTCTGAGTGGTGAGAGGGATCTTGGCCTGTGGCAGGAGCCAGGAAACGGAGCGAGGGCATTTTGTAAGTGGGGCCCCTGTCCAGCAGGGAAACCTGATCCTGTTTTAAAAGACCCAATAGATAGCATCGATAGGAGGAGATGGGCAGGCGCCAATCTAAAAAACAACATGAAAACACCAGAACCCAATGATCTTACAACAGAAGGACTTGAACACCCTAACACAGAAGAAGTGGGAAAAAATTGACTTTATGAAAGCAATAGAATCCTTAAAAACAACATGATGTAAAAAATGCCCTTATAGAAATGGATGAGAATTATAACAAAAAGTTTGAAGAAATGAGTAAATACGTAAATGATACCCTGGGAAACCAGTGTCTTCTATCAGATTCAGTGTGGTCAGATTGATATTGAGGTCTTTAATCCATTTGGACTTGAGTTTTGTGCATGGTGATAGATATGGATCTATTTTCATTCTTCTTCAGGTTGACATCCAGTTTTGTCAGCACAATTTGTTGAAGATGCTCTCTTTTTTTTCCATTGTATACTTTTAGCTCCTTTATCAAAAATCAGGTGTTCATAGGTTTGTGAGTTAAAGTCAGGGTCTTCTATTCAATTCCATTGGACGACTTCTTTGTTTTTATGCCAATACCAAGCTGTTTTCAATACTGTAGCTCTGTAATAGAGTTTGAAGTCAGGGATGGTAACGCCTCCAGTAGTTCCTTTTTTGTATAAGATTCTAAAGGCGTAAGTCACGAACAATGTCACAACAGTTTGGCATTATGATTAATAGAGTGGTATTTATTTAAAGAGGAAAAAACTTACAGATCACCGTCTCAGACAACAGCCCTCTGTGCAACCAGAAAGGGA